AACTGTAGAAATCTTAAGCTTGCAATTCCAATAAAGTGCTTCACACAAAAGATTAAATAATTATGATATCTAGAAAAATAGTATATGCAAAGTTGTATTTAGTCAGATATCTGTCTGCGAGAAATTTGTGAACCTACAAGTTGTTTTATATTTTTATGTCCTGTCGTTTTAAGAAAACTTTTATTCCTAATATTTTCATACAGAATAAACAAAATAAAACTTATTTAATATCTGCAAATACATCCATGTATTTTATCTTATTAAAGTCTGATTTTTTAAACAAAACTACGTTTAATAAAAAGAATATTGCATTTTAAATGTTTTTCCTCACAATTAGTATTATATAATATGTTTGTATAAAATATTCAATAAAACTTTTTAAAGTGCACGTTTATAAATATAAATATACAAAAAAGTATTAGGAAATAATATTTAAAGAGCTTCAATTATTTCACAAAGTTAGATTAAGCCACGTTAATTATCAAACACATATTGTGTTTCTGTATTCATTAAGAATTTAAATATTAAGGTAGATTATCTTTGCTAACAAGTATTCATCTAATTTTAAATTTTATTTAATTAAATACTTTTCGCACTTCTACAACACACTGTATTTGTATAACACACATTTATCATTCTCACTTTTTTGTAGACTACTTTCTAATAAATGAAATGGATTCATAGCATAATACCAGCAATAAGTACACTAATCATATCAATATCTAACTTTTCTTATTATTTAATGAAATATTAACATATATTTTTCTCTGTAGAATAATAGAAATCAATATCTATCTGCAGCAAGCAAAAATAAATTCTTTTTATCATGTAATACACATACACACGCACGCACGCACGCACGCACACACACACACACACACGCGCGCGCGCGCACACACACGCGCACACACACACACACGTACGTGTATCATCAATATTTATATATTAATACCTATTTTTATAACTATAATTAATATTTAAGTTAAATTTAATTAATTCTTCCTATCGCTGCAGATATCGCTCTATTTAATACTACAACAGTACTCAACTAATAATTTTGAATAATAGAAGTGAGCTATAACCAAGTTAGAATTTGATTATACAATATTAAGCAAAAAATTCGTAAAAGTTAAGCAACTTTCTGTATAATAGTTGCGTGTTTTGTGCTATGAATCCTGCATTTAGATATCACTTTTGTTGCCTGATTATTTCTTTCATTCCCCAGTAGAATAAAATGCAAAATATCCTTTTTCAATTACAATTCATTCACTTATTACCGTAATACACACAGGATTGTATATCTTATACTTGCTCTTAATTCACAAAATTCTCGAATAGCTTTTCATATAAAAAGATTTCTTTTTCTGCACACACACACACACATACACACACACACACACACACACACACACACACACACATATATATATG